AGACAACTAAACTAGTAATTGTAAAAAATAATCGCGTACAAATCGATTTTTTCTGTCTTGTATCCATAGAAATACTGAAGATTATCTCCCAAACGGATGAGAATGAGCTGATGGTTGTGGAAGTCTGCAAGAAGACGCTACAAAAAAGAGAGAGGCTGACTGGAAGATGCCAAGAAAAAAACAACAGAATCCACAGCCAGTCAAGTGTAGGTATTTATTATTTTTAATGTTGAACACTTGATAGCCGGGCTGAGCTACAAGCTGGAAATGATTTCTCCCATCTTTATTTATCTATATCCACAGTAACTGTGGCACAACTGTTGGGTTTCAAATGAAATCCCCGTGATTACTGGCCTGGACTTGTGTCCTGTTTTCTCTGCTCACATCTGGACACCAGGCGTTGCTGTTTGAGTACTGGAAATGTTTCACATCAATCATACTGACCCACAGTACTGTAGCTAGCAATGCAGTTAAATGTCAAATGAATGTGGAATGTGCACGCTGCAAGTTGCTTCTAAGATGTGGAAAGTTTGAACCGTAAAAAGATGCTATTTTCTCTGTGCAACGGAGAGATACTTATTAACAAATTCTACTTTTCTTCAACGTGTGCGTGTTCTGTGATACAGAACTAACATGATTATCATGTTAGTAATTACCACGCATGGGTCATTTCTCAAACCACCCAGCTCTCAGTATGGCTAGACATTAATGTTGCCAATTAGCAAAGGCATAGTATTTGTTTAACCAACTTGTTAATCTCCCTACATTCATTACAACAACATGTATAACTAAAGAGAGACTGTCACTACTTCTTCAAGTAGTTACTCTAATTGATGTTACTGTCTGTTAGAAAAGGACAGGGTTTTGTAGTGTATTTAAGTGTTAGTCAGTAGGTAATATCAACAGTGTAAATGCTCAAAATGGAAACTGCTCAGTCACCCATCCCTGTTTAGTGATCAGTATGTAGCTAAAACACCAAAAATAAGGCTATTGTGATGCAGTAAAATACATCCAAGGGTTTCCTTTGCTGTGTTTTTTTATAGACCAACGTATCTTAGAAGGTTGTTTTTGTGTGCATTTATTCAATAGCCATTTATTAATTTAATTTAAGAAATGTCCCACATTCTTGACACATTGTGTCAAACACTAAAACGACCACTAGATGGTAGCATGATGCTGTTTCTGAAGGATTCACCAGAAAGGGCTTGCTGCTGAGCATGATGCCCTTGAATTGGCCTGGTACTAGTTTTCTGAGTAGTGACAGCTGTGTGATAGTTGTTTGGATGCCATCAAGCTTGAGAGACCACGTTAGAGTGTCAGGCATCGTTAGCTGTAACTGCAGTAAAAGAGCTCCGTCTGTCATCTGTTAGCAGTTCATTTTATGTTAATGTTGTTTGTACACTGCAGGGTTGTTAATTAAAAAATTCTTCCCAGCTTATGCCCAACTTTTTTACTTTTAGTTAAAGAAATGACATTGTAGTGGAACTGAGGTTTTTTTTACCGGCAGAAATTCAGACTAATTACTGACGACTTATTTGAATGCTTGCCTAACCTAAATGCATTCATAATTTTGCAATATCTTACATTAGTTAAAACAACACAGCACTTTTTTTGCACAATTTGTTGATTGTTGTTGCTTTCTGCTTTATGTGTCAGTGCCTTAAGGATTTGCCAAACAGTGAAATATCCATGCAAACTGATTTAAACTGAACCCTTCAGTGAAATGATATTAACCATCAGATGTTGTTAATTGGCTTCCTGCAGTGGATTCTGAAGATGGTGTAGCCATTGAAGCTCCAGGAAACCTCAACTTAGACACAGACTTCCTTCTAGGACAAGACCTTGAGTTTGGTGATCCTGATCATGACAGCAAGATTCTAGGCCTGGAAAAGTTCTCAGGTTTGTAATCCATTTTCTTATTATAATTAGGTGCTTCAACTATGAAACTTACAAAAAAAATGCAAAAGGCTGTGTCTAAAGCCAGTGTTTGGTTTGTCCATTTTGGGCTACTGTAGAAACATGGCGGTTCAACAGTGTGATTATACACTAATGGAAACATACCTATGAATATTATATTCCATTTCTGACAATAGGCCCTCCCAAATGTTACACACTGGACCTTAAGATGTCAGTGCTGGTTGGTTGTGGTTGCCGTGGTAACAGCAAGGGCTTGAGCAAACCTATATTTTTCCACTTTTCTCATAATCGTGTAGATTCTTACTGGCATGTGATGTTAAAGTCTGTGATTCTTGTGTGTAAGAATGTGCCTGTATGTGTCTGCTTGGCTTTGAAAGTTTTGTTAAGTTGAGTTTTCTTGCCTCTCCCTATAGCCGTGACGCAGTCGTTGCTCCCTCGCTTCTTTTGTTGTTTTTGAAAAGTACGTTGGGTGGGAGGGTTCTTAGTTGAATTTGAGAGTGTAATTAACCCTTTAATACAGCTCTGATATAGCGCTAGGAGAGTGAGCAGTGAGGCAGATATCCGTTAGATAAAATTAAAAACGATACAGCTGGATTACATGCCTCATTTAATCTGTGAATCCCTTGTGTGTAGGTAAGCAATTTGCACAGGAATGGCAGACTCCGCCATTAACAATGAAAACTAGTATATAGAGACATAATTAGAGGAGGATTATACATTGAATGGCTCTCGCAGAAAGAATACTGACCAATAATATCAAACATGGGATTTGATTGTACTCAGTTTTTAAGGATTATAGCTTTAAAAGGTGTCTGCCTGTCAGCTATACTGTATCTGTCCATTCACATATAAGTTGGGCAAGTATATCTGTCAGCCAAGTGTTTCTCTTTGAGTGTCTCACTGTTTTCACATATTTTGTGTTCACCTTTCTGCTTGTGTTTGTTCAGTGTTATTAGATCTCATCCCACGTGTGGCAAATGTGTCTCCTGACAAAGGAATAGGAGGTTCACACAGGCTGGTCATTACAATACAGTACATTTCAATCTACTCAACAGTCTGAACTACATTTGCTTGGTGAACGGACAATAGTATCATTATGTTTTGGATAAGACCTCAATTTCACTTCCTGTCATTACCATGAAAACAGGGAATGAATCTGTGATGGAAACCATTGTAATAGTTGTACCACTAAAGGAAATGTAGCAGTGGCCGCACTACAAAGAGGACTTTTTACAGTTTGTTTCTCAGTGATGAAGTGTTGCCCCTCTGTGCGACAGTAAGAGAAATGGAAGTACCAGCTCATATTTCCCAGCATGGCTCTTTGTCAGAGAGAGTGATCTGAAAAATGGAAAAGTAGAGAAAGGAGCTGAGACACCATTATTATATAATGGTCATAAAAATAGGTCCATTACCATCAAGGACACCATTATAAGAGGGCATTTATTTATCATCATCATCATCATCATCATCATCATCATCATCATCTGCCTCTGCTCCCACTACCCCACCACCATTATGGTTCCCCATCATCATCATCATCATCATCATCATCATCATCTACCCTCATCATCATTATCATCATCAGCAGCAGCTTCACCATTATAGTCATCATCATTATCATTAGGCTCGGTAATCATCCACGAGGGGGTTCCATGGGGCAGGATAAAAGGGCAGTCTCCGCTCCCACCTTCCTCACATCCTGCCTCGGCATCCGTGGAGGAAGGTGGTTTTCTTCTTTCAGAAGCACACGTTGAAGGTGAAGAGTGCCGTGGAGTCTTGAGGCTTTTCTTCCTTCTGGGTCTTTTTTTTTGTTGTTGTTGTCTTTTTGTTGTCTGTTAAACCCTCAATGGCATGACAACAGCTTAAACCAAGTGTGAACGTCACCCATTGGTTTGTGGAATACCATTTTGAACCAGTTTTTTTTTTTTTTTTTTGGGATAAAAATCACTATAATGTTTTCTCATCTGATTTTTCTTTGAGTCATTTTTATATTTAAATGTTTATGATAAACGTGGAGTAGATTTATTTATTTTTGTCTCCAGTTAGTTAGAATCTCAATAGTTAACAGGCTATAACAGCGGCAAGACGCTTAAGAGAAAATAGTGAAATAGTTGATCATAATATTTATAATAGTCATAATGTAATATACAGGCTGCAGTGCCTAAGTATTAACACTTTCTGCTGTCATTTGTATTCACGCTTATTGCAGCCAATGGAGCTCCCCCTGCCGGCCTTTACATAGAATGCAGGTTTTAATACAAGTCTGCGTTGGCTTCACTTTTCAGACCGGGAAGCTCTGTCCATTATATATACACTGTCAATGGTCAATGGCTTAAACGCAGTTGACAGTTGACCTTGCCGGTAGCACTGTGAGTATCAAATGTTTCTCTTCCCTTTCCTCCGTCTTGCTGAGAAGAGAGAGATCCTTTCTGTGCTCTTCCTCAGTGTGATGGAAATGGGGGGGAGCATTATCTGTAATAGCTCAGTATCGTTGGTTGTTTTCTTTATTTGTCAGACAGTTTTGAGTCATTCAGTGAGATGTGTTAATGGATACCATTTGAATTGTTAGATTTGATGTTTCAATATAATACAGTCTGACTTTGGTTCATTTGTACAGAAGTCCAGAGTGTCTCAGTGGTGTTTTTGTACGTCATTATAGCTATTATTTCAGGATGCCCTTTTTAAACAGTTCATATCTCATTGTATCATTTGTCACCAATCCTCAGCCAGTCACGTCTCCAGCCTGTGTACTATGAAAATAAGAGTGATGCAATTGAGTTTCATTGTAGTGAGTTTAGTATTGAATTATTTCACTTCACTTCAATTTATTGGTTCAGTTATATATATTTTACTATATTTATTGTTTATTCAAGATGTCTGATTCACTGACTCAAAATCCATTTGATCCATTTGCACTCAACATCTGTTATAGTTGCGGTATTTGTTTCCAGTTTGAATAATGCAAACAGTAATATAGTATATCAATAGAGATGTCTGTGATTGTCTCTGATGCTGTTTGTGTATATCCTTTATTTGTGGCCATATTTGTTTTCTCTATGTACTGCTTTATTCAGGTCTTTCAAGCAAAAGAAATCTTGGTCTTAACAACATTACCTGATTAAATAAAGGCTTTATAATGTATAATACAGAATAAGCCAGTCCAGATAGAGAGACAGTGAAAGGACAGCTGGATTTGAAATGTTGTAGATTTAATAAATAGCAGTACAGAAATGTGCTCTTGAGTTTCCGTAATGGCATTTGGAGTGGATTGTGAAAGCCTTGGCTCTGAAAACATTTGCAGTCTTTAGAAAACGTCTTTCTGTTTGTCTTCCCTGTTCAGAAGTAGCTGCTGAGATCGGTTTCTCTGTGTATCCTCTGGGTGATGAGGAGAGCCCTGTCTACAGCCAGCTCAGCATGGAAAGTGAAACAGACAACTCGCACGGCACAACTGACAACGGTAGGGAAGACGAGGGCAGAGGCGCCCAGTCCGAGCCCAGTTTTCCTCCCTACCTGTCCTGCAGGGGCTGCGGACAGCTCCGTGATGAACCTCTGGGACCTGGCATAGACCTGGTTGGGCCATACTGCCTTAGGTGCTGCAAAGCCTCCAGGGAAGCCAAAAGTACAGACTTCTGCTCACCTTTTGGAAGCATGAGCGGGATTCGCTCAGGTTCCCATTTGCAGCTTGACGGCGAAGGGTTGGGAAACGGAATGGGTGACAAAGCACTGACAGCTGAGGACAAACTGCCCAAACTGCACTCATGTCACCTCTGTGGCTTCTCCTCGCGTTACGCCAACCACGTGAAGCGTCACATGAAGACGCACAACGGGGAGAAGCCCTTTAACTGCCCCTTGTGCACTTACGCCTCTGCCCAGCTGGTGAATCTGCAGAGACACCTGCGCATTCACACTGGGGAAAAACCTTACAAATGTGACAGCTGCACTTTTGCCTGCAGTTCCCATGGCAACCTCAAGAGGCACCAGCGCATGCACGTGCACTCTGCTGGGGTGGGACAGGACACCCCACCACGACTTGCCAGTGGCCAGATCAGCTTGAAGAGGCATGTGACCGGGCAAAGACCCAATGAGGAAGTGCCTGGTGCTTCAGCCAAGGGTACGTATCATTTCCTTATTTCACCATTTCCATTTTTTTATAATGTCACACGTTACACAATCTCACTCTCTCATCTGTTTGTGAAGTTTTAGAAGTTGCAAGGCCGACTTCGAACCTGAGTTTGGGAGCCCAGAACAATGACTACCTATCAGCCTTTGACGGCTTAAAGGGGGCGTCACCACCACCCATACCAGCCTCTAACCCGGCTCCTGGCCACCAGCCTCCACCCCTGCTGGAGACCACAGGCGGTGGCGGCGGCAGCGGCGGCGGCAGCAGGGCGACCAGAGGGGGCGTAGCAGACGGTGCCGCCCTCCCCCCTTCACTCTTCCCTTACACTTGCCGGTTGTGTGGCATTGTCCTGGAGGACGAGGACGGCTCCTCGGCCCAGATTTGCGCCAAGTGCACCCTTGAAATGCTGACTAAAGACTCTTCGTCGTCTCCCAACAGCCCCGGCGAGCGCAGTGACAAGGTGTACACCTGCGCCGCCTGCCCTTTCCTCACACACTACCCAAACCACTTGGCACGCCACATGAAAACTCACAGCGGCGAGAAACCGTACAAGTGCCCACAGTGCGACTACGCGTCAGCGCACTTCGACAACCTCAAGCGCCACCACAGAGTGCACACAGGCGAGAAACCTTACAAGTGCCATTTGTGTGACTACGCCTGCGGAAACCTGGCCAACCTGAAGCGTCACCAGCGGGTGCACTCGGGCGCCAAGCCCTTCCAGTGCGCCGTGTGCAGTTACAGCTGCAACCAGAGCATGAACCTGAAGCGGCACATGCTTCGGCACACCGGAGAGAAGCCGTACAAATGTCAGGAATGCGGCTACACCACCGGCCACTGGGACAATTACAAGAGACATCAGAAGAAACACGGCCTGGCCACGGACGGCTGGGTCAAAGTTCCAATGACTGGCAACGACGAAGAGGAGGAAGTGAGGAAAGGGATGGGAGTCGGCAGTCAGACTCACAGAAAAGAAACGGGGGTCGATATGCAGTATATGTCTAGGGAGGGAGGTCAGACAATACACTCATGCTACAAACTCGAGATTGTATAAAATATAACTCAGCAAAACTAAGCTACCAGCAACTTCTTTTTGGTTTTTATTTTTCACAGAGCCTTTATATTGTTTTAGTGTGTACCTGTCTTTTAGTGTTTCGTCAGACGTCTTCAGAGGCTGCTAATTGTTTCTTTGTAGTATCTTGCACAAGTATGAAAAACAATTGTTCTGAAAATTTTTGGATTAAGTAAGGTGGATGAGTATGGTCAGAGTTCGTCTCCTTTTGTGTCAAGATAATAAGACTTTCTCTACTGTGGAAGTCCTTTGATTGTCTCATTCTGTATGTTACCCCACACTAAGCTAATCCTATCATTTCCCACCCCCATATTACAACACATATCTGGTTCTTCATTGTAGGACAGAGAACACTACCAAATACTCCTCAGTACATGGAACTCGTGCACATTTTTGCCTGAACTGTTGAGCTGCACTGTGTAGTTTATATACAGTTCTTTAAATAAGCAACAACTGTTTATTGGTATATTGCAATATATCTGCTATATTTATCAGATGTAGCACTTACAATGTCACAAGTGAAGTCATAACTTTTCTTTTTGTACCAAAAATCTCATGAAATAACTTGAATGTTACAGATTTCTTTTACACCCTATCGTCCAATAACATATACCTGACTGCCTTCATGAGGTTATTTTAATAAGGAATTAGAAGTTTCTACCTAGACTACACAGTGCAGTTTAATTGAAGATGGGTCCTTGTAAGGGCCAATATTGTGCTTTGTTTGCATTTGGGCGCAAGCTCTGGTAATGGCATGCCTTCAGATTAATTTAGTAATGTATGTACTACTAGCAAAGTGCTATCTAATAGTACTGGAATCATTTTACCCTCGATAAACTATATTAATTAATTAGGTTGTGTTAACCTAACTGAATAATCTCCAGTGTCTTGAACTGTGTTGTCATTTTTTTCCCCCCCAAACCCCTCAGGATTATGAAAATGTGATTGGACAGACCGAAAAGTTGGCAACAAATGTTTTTTCGAGTTACTTTAAAACTAAACGCATGCACAAGCATTTTTGAACAGCCCTCTTCAGTCTTTACTTGGTTGTATGGTTAAAGAAAAGCACAACTATACACAGACACAGGATGGCTTAAGTTGTGGAAACGTCTCTTCTATGTGATTCAGGCGTTACATAAATCGTAATCGAGCATGTTGTTCAAAGGATTTATTCCCCACAAACTTGTACTAGTTACATATCAATCTTTAAATTTCCAACCTAAATTGTTTATTCTTTGGGTCTTCTTTGATGGAAACTATTTAATCACCTTCCTTTTGATTACTGTTTACTGTTGAATGTGAAATTAGCCCATTATCGTGTTTTTTACTTGAAAAAGAGATGACCCTATTGGTAAGCATGTGTGTGTAATAGTTGTTTTATTTTTCTAATGTGGCTGTAACACACTACTAGAAGTGCATACTTTAATATATAGAATTGTTTTTTTATTTTTTGAATGTGTGATGTGTCATTTAGTTATCATGGGAGAAATAATAGGGACTGATTTATGTTGACTCTCGTTTTTAATTACTATTATATGCAAGTGAGATATTTTTCAGGTTGCCAACTTGCCATGACACAATGGAGCATTGAACCTGTTGATTAATTCTGACATCCCCTAAGTGTCCATTTTTGTCTTTATGCAGTGTCTCATAAATGCCTTAAGTGAGGATTTTTAAATAAACACATGGAATTCATTTCATTGAATGTCAAGAGAACAGACTGGGTCTCTTTTTTTTCTCAAATCTACTTTTCTTCTAGGACCATCATCAGGTTAAAATGAGTTTGTCCAATACTTTTACGACCAAATAAAAGACAACTGCCATTTCCCTCAGCTGCACTTTGAGCGTAGTCCTACTGTAAGCAGTAAATCTGCACTAAGGTGGTGAACTGGGTAAACTTAACACCTGTGAAACAGCATGTTAGCAATTTGCTATTATATACTTACACAACTGCTAGTGTGACTGCAGTCTCGTACAGTAATGACGCTGAAATGATATTGCAGAACAAATTAAAGTATGTAGAGCTCCGACTGAAACTGGTCAGGCCAAAAAAATCTGCTGATATCTGCTTGGCACTGATGGATCAATATCAGAGAAACGCCAATGTTATATTTGAGGTAATTTAGAAACTGCCATTACAGTTTGTCCATCAGAGATTTTCCATCATGTAAAAGCTGAATATTAGCTGATATATCAGACATATCTATTTAAATGGGCTACAAATGGATAAAGAATCAAAGCAGCGTCATGAGAGGAGAGTTCTCTTCTTTTTTTTTTTTACAGAAACCTGTGACAGAAATGGTTGTGACTTGTTTTATACAAAGTAAAGTTTTTGGCACATTTCATATCCAAGAAGCTGCTGTTGTGAAAGAAAGCTTAGTAATGATGAAAAGACGAGTGGAGCATTGACTGACAACCGAGAACCACAGGATCACCTAATTTCAGTTTTTATTGTAGCATCTCGACAGTTGTCACCGACCTTACCACTAAAATCAAAATGAAATGAAAAGTAGTGGAATGAATCAATTCAATACAATGTTCATGAAACTTGATATTGTCTGTAAAAGTGATGCTGATGATAAATGCACTTTAAAGTGGAATTTGGCACCTACACATTTATTAACATCCAGGACTTTGTGGCTTCCGTGTACTTGTTATTGACAGGAATAGATGAAACAAAAATGAATGGCAGAGAAGAAGAACAGCAGTGAAAGACCGAGACATTTATATTGAGAACATTTTTGTTTACAGTTCTGGCTACCAGTGAGAGTAAAGCTGCTGATAGGTTGGCATTGATTTACATTTAGAGGCTTCAAAAAACACGCTGACAGATGCCAACATCATCATGATAGAAAAAAAAAAAATGGAATTACATGTCTTAGAAAACAGCTGGATATGTTCATTTTGTTGCCTGCTCTCCACGAACTTTGTTCACTCCAGCTATTGCGATCACATTAGCCACTTCAACCAAAGCACCTTTTCGACTGAATCCTCTGAGATGATTGGCACAATGTACATACAAAGTACAATAAACTGAAGCCCCGAACGCTCCCCACAACACCGTCGCTCGCCCCAAAACGAACAAGACGAAGAAAATCAGATGCAAAATTTTGTAAACACTTTCCATTTTAACTAATAAAAAGTCCCCTAAACATTATGTAAACAATGATAAATGTTAGTCCACTTAACCTTTTTTGTTCTATACACCTTAGATTACATTTGATCTATTTGATTACAATAAGCTATTGATGATAAAGATATTAGTAAATGTTCAGAATACTTAATTGCATGTACATAATATAAAAAGTGACATTGTCATAATTTTTATGTTTATTTTGTGCAAAATGCTTTAGTAAACTATAATTTGGCATTTATGAGAAACCTTTAAAAAATTGGTTTAAAAAAAAAATAAAAATAAAATTATAGATGGATTTACGGAGCCCCTTGGGGAAAAAGAAAAAAAAGTCTCCACACAAAGTTAAAAGCCATGCTCGAGCTTCCACTCAAACATTTAACTCCACCTGTAATACTGTGCAAAATGATGGGTTCAGCAAGTGCAAGCAGCTCAGCCAAAGACAACCATCTATCAAGTTCTGCAAGATTCTAGGTAACACCGGCTGACGCTGACGTTTTCTGTTAAGTCTCAACCAATGTCTGGTTAAATGACAAACCCGCGAGGCTAAAAAGTAAAAGTTAAGGCATCAGACTATTTCTGAAGGCAGTATGAGTGACTGTGCCCCAAACGTACGCTGAGAAAACACCGCTGGAATCTTGCTAAGATATTCATGAAATTGGCGCATGAGTAGCATCACGCACGGAGGACGACTAACAGTATAAAAACATGACATTTTGGTATATAGCCAAGCCAAACATTGATCATCCATATAAGTAAGCGGTTGCTCTGAATAGTCTACAGATGTCAACACATTCACTGGACTCCGTGTCCAGTTCTGCTGTATTATCACTAGTGCCAGGTCTAACTGAACGTTTGGCTCTCTGGTTGGGCAGGAACATGCAGCCACCCGAAGCAAGAATCCAGGATCTAACAGGTTTTCTTTATGTGGTTTATAATATATTAATTTACTTTGTACCTCATGAACTGAACCGCGTTACAGAACTTCACGTATACTGTAGATGAAACAGTAATCCATTGTAAATGAAACTGAAGTAGGAACCAAACAGGAAGCCTCCCTATTTGAGTACCTGTAGTTTTACATGCCACAAGTTTAATAACACTGGGACAAAAGTTTCTAATTGAATATGATGATTGTAACTAAAATACCATTTAAAATGAGCTTTTAGAGTTGAAAAGAAAAAAGGACACCGTCAAAGATTAAACGAGAGCTTAAGGCAGCGATTTCTCCAGGAAGAAGCTACAATCTTGCAGAATCGGACACCGTGTGCGGTCCGCTCGGCTCGGCTCAGCTCAGCTTGTAATCTTTGTCGTCCCAGTTGCTGACAGTGGAATGATGAGGAGGGGGGGGGGGG